AGGAGTAGAGAGAGGAATCATATCATCTGTGTATTCTGAGTCTGAGGTGGGTGGTGTAGGTGTCTCAAGAGTCGAAGAAGGCAGGGACAAGGGACTTGGTACTGGTGGCACTGTAGGCACGGCTCCCTCAATCTGCTTGTTTCTCCTCACATACACCTCATGGTATCTCGACTCCCCCTGACTCAGAGTTCTACCACCTTCGAGCTCATTCATCTCAGCTTCCGGCTCAACCCTAGCCGATTCCTCCTTTTCCGGCTCAACCACAGCCGAAATCTCAAATGGGCAAGGAATACCACCCACACTCACCATCCTCCTCTCACCATCACTACTATGCTCCTCCTCTCACCTTGTACCTTTTGTATCGGGCGAGTCTCCAAAGGATGATGTAACCTCTGAGTAATATGGTTCTAACTCGCGAAATGTAACATCCATTACTCACAAACAGTCTCCTCTCCACAGGACTCCAGCACACATACCTCTTTTGAGTAGCTGAGTACCCCACAAAGATATACTTCACAGCCCTTGGATCTAGTTTTCCCACATTTGGTCTGTTGTCCTGCACGAAGCACACATACCCAAAGTTTTGAGAGGAAGAATATCTCCATTCTTACCTTTCAACATCTCAATCGGAGACTTCCAGTCTAACACTCGTGATAGCATCTGGTTGATCAAATAGGCGGCTGTCAGAACTGCTTGCCCCCACAAGTACTTTGGGACTTTCATCGAAATCATCATACTCCGAGTCACCTCAAGAAGATGCCTGTTCTTTCTCTCTGCTACCCCATTCTGCTCTGGTGTATATGTACATATGGTTTGATGCTGTATCCCCTAAGATGACAAGTACTCCCCAAACGCCCGGTTGGTGTACTCTGTCCCATTGTCTGACCTTAATACTTTCACAACTGCATCGTATTGTGTCTGAACTCCTTTATGGAAGTCATTGAAGCAAGCAAACACATCACTTTTGTTTTTCATCAAATAAAGCCACGTCACACGAGAAAAACAATCAATAAAAAAGACAGTATCTAAATCCATTCACAGCAGTTGTGGGACAAGGCCCCCATACATCAGAGTGAATCAAATCAAAAACACTAGAACTCCTACTATCAGAACTAACATAAGAGCTCCTGGTGTGCTTTCCCAACTCATACACATCACACGAGTTTTTCCTTATTAGCCTTTTCAAACAAAGACGGATACAACCTACTCAAAACTGAAAAAGAAGGATGACCCCAAGCGCCTATGATGGAGCAGCAGCAAGTCCTCCACACTCCTCCCAACTCCTCCAGCTCCCTCCATAATAGATGAGAGGGCCAAGTCCATACCCTCTCTATCTAGGTACCACAAGCCACTATGCCATGTGTCAGTCCCAAGTTGTCTGCCTATCCCCTTCTCTTGGAAGATCACCTTAGGAATATCAAACAAAACGACACATTTTAGTTGTGATATAATGGCACTTATGGATAAGAGATTTACAGGAAAAGAAGGAGCATGCAAGACATTAGACAAAATCAAAGTGCTGGTACATTTTACTGTGCCCTTACTAACCACGGGTTGGGCCGTACCGTCAGCTGTCTGAATGCTCTCTGGTACTGCTAGGTGAGTATAGGAAGAAAACTCTCTAGCAGCACCAGTCACATGAGGAGATGCACTAGAATCGACTATCCAATCTAGTAATCTAGTGGTGGATATAGAGGCAAGAGCAAGTGTATCACAAGTACCTGTAGCTGAGCGAGCAAAGGAAGCAAAGTTACCCCTGGATGAAGACGAGATGGATGCATCATCTACCCCTCTTCCCCTCACCTGTTGCTTTCTGCTTCCTCTTTAATGCCTCTAAAAACTTATGATCCTCTTTGGTAAAGACTATAGTCTCCTCACTCTCTCCCTCTGCTACCATCAGGTGTGCTTGGTAGCCTCCTCTTCCACCTCTCCTACCAGCTCTGCCTCGACCACGACCCCCAGCATGCCCCCTTCCACCTGTATCTCGCTTCTTTGGTAGGTTAGGGCAAGCTTGCTTCAGGTGACCTACCTCATCACAGTTGTAGCATTGTCGGGTCTCGCCCCTGTACCCTGTGTTATCTGAGTTGGAGACTGCAAGTGCTGACTTCACTCTTGGATGTCCAGCTGCCCCAGCCTGTAGCCTAATCCGGCTCTCCTCCTGTATCATGGCTGAGACCGCTTCCTCAAGTGAGGGAATCCTCGTCTGAGCTAGTAGCATAGCAACCCTCTGCTCAAACACCGGGGCCAAGCCCTGGAGGAACACCATAACCCTGTCCATTTCAATCTCAGAACACACAGGGTCAGTGCAGCATCGTCGTCGGACCCTGAAGTGGCTCTGATCCAGTCATAAGCGATCCAGCTCTATGGCATACTCCTGCACAGTCCTCTCCCCCTGTACCAAAGCCGAGATCTCTCTTGATATGGTACACCCGCTGGTTGTTCCCAGCATCATCGTAGGTCCTCCTCAGCTCTCCCATACATCCTGCACCTTCGCTATGCCATCCACTATGGACGCAATAAGCGAAGTCAGTGAGTTCAGGAGCCAGATATATACCTGCATGTGAGTCGACTTCCACTCAGCTCTCTCAGGTGCATTCTGACCCGACTCCTCTCCAGTCAGGTACCCCTCCAGACCCTTCCCTTCCAGAGTGTACCTCACTCGACGCAACCAGCTTAGATAAGTGGCGGACCCTCGAGTTTCATATCGATCAGTGGTAACTC